GATTCAGTCCAGACTTGTCAACTTCCCTGGAAGCAAGCGGAGTGTTCCATAAATTACTGCAGCCTTAAACAACCAAACTATTTTTAAAGGGTGGTCTATAGCAAATGCAATTAAATCTGAATTGTTGCCTCAATAACTCTGCCTTCTTTCTTTTCTTGTTCTCTTCCATCCCTAAGTGTATTTAGCTGGAGCTACATTAAGGGCCCTGCTCATCATTTTTCTTAGCCTCCGGAGAAACGCGAAGAGCAGCGACACTTTTCATTTCTAGAGGTGTGGAAACGAAGTGTCAGCATGCCTCCCCTAAACTGCGCTGCCCAGTAAGAGTGCCACCCTGAACCTGACTCCGGAAAATACTCTTGTCCCGAATAGTGGAAGAAGCAAGGGAATTTAGCTGTCCTCCAAGAGAGTTATAGAACTCAGAGGCTAAAACAGATCTCAGCATCTCCAGTTTGAATGGCACTGGCTCCCGTGCTCGCGAGTTCTCGAATACCTTCCTGCACTGTAGCCCCTAGGCTCCATGCTATCCTAAATGAGGCCAGCTTCTTTAGCTGGCTCTTTAATAAGGCACCATGTAGAATGAAGTGCCCGAGAGCTTACCATGTTCTCTTCTTGCTCAGACATCACAGTGCAATGTGTGATTGATTAGGGCTGTGTCCAAGGATCTGCTTTGTGAAGAATCTGATATCTCCATTCTTGTTGTTTGATTGATAATAGCTTTTGAACTTCATCCTTTCCTCTACTAGTGGTGCCCATCTTTGGGGCACATGAGTAGGAAGTCCAGGGGCTTTCTCCTTGGGCACCAGTGGAAGACTTGACTCTGATAACCCCCTTTCACCAAGCCCTTTTTACTAACCATAAGAAACTTTCAGACTGGCCTCCTTCCTTTCTCGTTGACTTCATGAATCACTTCAGACCTGCTGGAATCAGCTTTGCTGTTCCCCAAAGACCTTGATAATGTGCTCGAATTCTGTATGCCCTCTTGGTGTGCACAAGTATCACACCCTGACAGCCACACTGCATCCTAGATGGGGTTTAAAAGTATATAGTACAGTGTGTTTTCTTTCCCACCTCAGCCCATGACCCTTAGCCCAAAGAGGTCAACGAAAGAGAGTCATGATCTTTGGGTTCTTTAGCAGGTGTTAGAAACCTGTACAGGTTCCCTATCTGGAGGGCATTGCTGAAGTCATGTAGCATTTCTGCTGCTGACAGTCATGGGCTGGAGACCTGACCACAGTGACGTCACCAACTGCCACATCTCACCACTCAAATTCTCTCCGCCCTGGAAACTATCTATAGCACATTGTGCTCTCTTCCTGCCTCCAGTCCCGTCCGACTAACTTAGGATGAAGTAACAATATGCCCTCTCCAAGATGCTTTATTGCCATCTATCAGAAAAAGGCAGTAATAGCTATTTTAAATCTCGCAACGATAAATCTGAGCAGCTTCTGTGGAAGCCGCACAATCCACAATCCTGCTTCGAACCGGGAGTGTCCCTTGTTCCCACCAAGGCTATCCCTAGCCCCTTACTGATTTTTCAGCAGAGACATGAGACCACACCAAACCAGACAATGTTAAACGTCAGCTCACCTGCTGTGAGATCTCAGTACTCTTCATTTGGAGAAGAGCCTGGTGTTCGATTTTCTATAACCACCACCTGATATTTCATAATCTGATCCTTTAGTTCTTCTCCACAGAAGCGAATACTATCTTGAGCGGGATGTTCTACATTCTATTGGACTGACCCTTACTGTAAGACATTTGACATCCTTGTACCCAGGGACCAAATGTCAGGGGCAGTCTCTGATTACTGTGGAAACTAGAAACACCCCTTTGCATAGGTCCAAAAGTACACTAAGGTGACACCATACTTTCTCCTCAACACTCACAACTGAAAACCACTTGATGATATTTTTTGTTTGTTTTTTTTAATCTTCCTTTGTCTCTAGAGTTGGAAGGCGAGCATCTGTCCTACAAACCTACATCCCCCAGTACTTAGCACAGTACATTCCCTGTACCCAGTACCTAGCACAGTACCCAATTACTTGTCACATCACCCCAAACAAAGGCCAGATGAACCAGAAAGCTAACGTCTGTATTTGGCTCATAGGGTAATTGTGAGGGCCTGTACATGAAAAGCGCCCCCCCCCCCCCTAGTCAACTATTTAAAGTTTGTTCCCAGTACAATGTTCAGAGGGGAGCCATTATATCGTAGAGCTTTGACCTCGCAGAGTCAGGTTGATTGAGTGCTCGTTGTCCTCATGTCTTGTTCGTTGGCTGCTGTAATCCAAAAGTCCAGTCTCAAGAGAAACAAGCCTGTCCACACCTTCTACACAAACCTCAGTAGAGGTTCTGCAGAGACCACCCAGGGTCAAGTCTTCCCTGCTATCTATTTTGCAAGGTCTGGTGCTAAGAATACATAATAGTTCATCTTCCATTTCCATTGGACTGAGCTGCAATGCCCAGTTATTTGGCTTAACATTATTCTGGATGTTTCAGAGATGGTACTTTTAGACGTGATGGATATTTAAATCAGTGGGCTTTAAATAAAAGCCAATTTTTGTATATAGCATGGGTGGGCTATACCCAATCAGTTGAAGACTTGAAGAGATCACAGGATGAATTCCCCCGGAGCAAGAGAAAACTTTGCAGCAGATCACCTCTAGGATTTAGAGGAAACATCAACTCTTGCTGAATCTCCAGCTGATGGCCTCTGGGGTTTCTCACCCCTTGGCGATCATATGAGCCGAGTTTTAGTTTAAATACTCACATCCAAACGTGGGTCCATTGAGACTGCCCAACCCTGAAGGGAGGTAGTTACAGTAACATGCTGTCTACAGGATTTCAGTGTAAATGCGGGACCCTCATCCCGTCTCACCGTTTCCTGGAGAATGGATTGATTTTTAGATACTTTACAATGCCAGAAGCTAACAATAAATGGAGGGAAATATACGGTTAACCCACATGGCAGTCCTCACTTTGTTTTATTTCAAATTACATTGACATCCTGTGATTTAGAGCTGTTTGAATTAACTCCCCCTTTTAGAAATAGATACTTAGATTTCAAATTCCACAGAGCCCGGGTTGGGGATGGGTTTGGGAGTCTCGGGACTCTAACCTCCAACTCTCTGTTCACCCTGTCCAGCCATCATATCTCTGTCACAGAATGTCAGGAGCTCATTGCTAGAAGTCTCTGCCGGGTACTGGAATGGAGTCTGTCTTCCTGCCCACAACCCACAGGTTGTAGTTCTGCCCACTGGTGCCTCCCCGAAAAACTATGGTTCCTCTTTCACAAGCCAAACCTGTGGACATTTTAAGACTGTCACAGTAGAACCCAGACTTTTCTCTTCCCCATATTGAAACCCCAGTTCCCTCAGCTATAAAGTGAAGAGTCTAAGCCCTTTTCTCAGAACGTGACCTGTGTGGGAAATGAGCAGTCTAGAAGAACATTGATATCCCGACCTTCCCCTGGTCCCGCAAGCCTTGCACATTTCCACTGACTAGCACTTCCATGGTGTTAGCCTGGTGTACAGTTTGTGTTCCTAGGAACCTGTTCGTTTGAGCCTGTTCTTAGAAAATCATTGCAGCCAGTGACAGCCAGAGTACAATCGACCTGCCACTCCAAATAGTCTGGTTTTCTCTCAGCATCCCAAACAATGAGGCTGTTTTGATACGGGCTGTCTTGGTCTACAATTACCACCCAGCGGCTGATTTCAGACGCATGCTTAACACTGGGACGTCTGTTTTAAAATAAGCAAACTCTCCATGTGAGAACATTTGAGCAGTGTGTTTGAAAGTTCCGTGTGGCAAAGAAAGGTGGCCAGAGGCCTGTGATGCTGGTTTGAATGAACACACATACGGATAGGATAGCAGCGTTCTCTGAGCCCCCCACAGAGTCCCTGTGCTGGGGAGTCTTCACCAGAGGCTTTGAACTGTGAGCCAATAAGTAGCCAACAATCTGTGCTGAGGATCCACCCTGTGCTACCCATAATAATTGGTCAGAGTATAGGCCAGGGTAGTTTGAAAGTGACTGCCCTAAAAAGTGCCACTTAGCTGTGGCGTTGAGGCACGTATTGACGACCCCAAGACCTTACCTACTTAGTATGGATGCCTGGAGCAGAAGTGTGGGGTAGACCTGATGTGCAGAGGGTAAGAACACGGAGAAACAGGTCCTACTATCTGCTCAAGGATAGGCACGATTCCCTTTATCCCTTCGTCACCTCTCTCCCCAGCTTGGCTCTGGTTTCCAGCCCTCGCCCATTCAGAAGTGAGAGAAGCAGGTGTTGATGCAAGCAAGCAAGCTAGCAGCGCTCGCTGCTCTAGGATGGGTCAGGAACCGGCTGCAGGTAAGAGACTTCCCAGCTAAACAGAAATGAAGACAGTTCACAGTGGACACTGAGCAAGCGTGGGGACCATGGCCAAAGAGAAGTGGCCTAGAAGAACAAACACAGGCTGATGGACTCTGAGCAGGGGCTCCAGGCTGTAGCTGGCAGAGGAGCTGACCTTTCCTCGCTGCTGCCTGGCGAGGTAGGACACACACTTGGCAGAATGGGTCAGGAGGCAAACCTGTCTTCCCACCCCCAAAGTCATGGCTACCTCTGCTCTTGGCCTATTGAGTTCCTAGAATAAGCGAAGCTGGGCCTTCGCCTTCTCGAGCACAGCCCTCCATTTCGAATCTGAGGAAAGACCCATGCAGAAAAGTTCCAGAACACGCCCTAGTCAGTGTGTCCTGTAGCCAATGCTTTCTGCTTGGACTAGGAATGAGCACAGGCTCTCCGTTTTCCGTCCAGTCTCTTCCCACGGAGCCAGGTGGATGTTCTCAGAACTCCAGTTCCCTCAACCTGCAGGCTCTCTATTCCGTATCAGGGAAGGTCTCGGGCAGTCTTGACTCCAAAGCCCACAGCACTTTCTGCCCATGATTATTAGGTGGACCTGACACAAACCCGCAGGGAAGGGAAGCCAGCCTTGTGCATAAGTAGCTATAAATAAAAACCCCAAACTAGTGAAAGTTTCTAGATCTCCTTTTTATTTAAATGTTCCTCATTTATATGCAACCAATTCACAAAAGCCCACACACCAATCTGTAATGCACCTGGTATTGTGAGAGATTGCCAGTTTGGTAGTGTCAGCCCCTTCCCCCCCACCACACACATACACACAATAAAGACTGCACAGGAGTTCATGTCCTTAGGGTATAACTGTCCCCTTCATTAAAAACTGAGTCCCCCCACTAAGCAAAACAATAGACTATTTCTACCAAAGGAAGAGGTCACGCTTCAGTCCCAGTCTTCTGGCAATATCCTTCCAGGTGTTTTAGAGAGCAGCTATGTCCAGAAGCGCTGCCTTGTGTCCCACTTGTCCACATCAAATCCACATGTGTCCGTCTGCTAGGGCTTCTGTCACTAAGTGCCACACAACGAGAGATATAATATCAATCTCTTCCTCTCAGCTTAAATTCAAGGTTCTGAGGGGTTAGTCTGTCCCGAGGCTGCCTTTCCTGGCTTGTAGACAATTCACTGCCCGTCTGTTTCTTTCAATGAGAGCACCAGATACACTGAATTCGGGCCCACCCTGCTGGTCTCCCTGAGAGTCACTTCACTCATTGAAAATTACCTCTGAAGCTAGTCCTATCTGGAGATGCCGGGAGGAAACGGTTTTCGCAGGCATTTTGAGGGAAGACAACTCAGTTCTCAATACCGAGGCCTGGGCTCCACCTTACATGTGTATCCTCATATGCAAAATACTTTCACCCATTCCAACACTTCCTAAATACCTTAATTTGCACACCATTGGCACCAAGGTTCTATCTTAAGCAGTTTTTAGGTTCAAAATTTGAAAAAACGATTAACATGGAATTGGTATTCTCACCTAAGACTGGCATCAGGTACCACAAAGAGACAGTCTACCAGTCACTCAAACCGGAGTCTCTTCCTTCAGAGCTCACCATGTAAAACCTGAAGGACAGATTAAGTAGGCATCCGTAGAGAATCCATCTCCTGGTGCTGACTTCACAGAAGGCACTGATCTCCTGTGCTCTGGAGAAGAGAGAAGAGAGCTGATTCAGCGCTCCCAGGGTAGAAAGAGCTAAGTGGACAGCTTGAGGGAAACACTGCAGTTCACCCGTTCTCCTGTGATCAATCACACAACACTAGATTCAGTCTCCAAAGGAAGAAGCCACTGCAGCACCCAGGTTCTGCGGAGAAATGGGCTACCTGAAACCGAGGAGTGGCGAGGAGCGGGCTCTGATTGAAAACAGACAGATGCATGGTGCACTTCTCCATGAACAGCTATTAGGGGACCAGCACTCCACAGGAAGACACGGTGGCATTTGTCTCATGTCTAGGACTGCACTGTACAATGTGCCCATCAGCAAGATGAGAGATGAGGGCAGGGCACACGCCATGGGGAAAGGCTACAACTTCCCATGACTATTGCCAGCTTCCCGAAGTTGAGTTTGTATCTGGCTAGGTTAAGGTGTTGTTGAACATCAAGTCCACTTTCGGTTCTGCAAAACTGGGGATGGGGGTGTCTTTACTGTAAAGAACCATATTCGGGTTGGCTTCACATAGCTCTATGGATTTCCAAGGTCTATGAACCCTAGAATTTGAGAGTGGAATTGAACTCTGCAGCTTTACTCCCCACAGACAAGTTAACTTACTAGTCTGGAAGGGTAAATGTAGAGACACAAGCAGCCTCTGTGTTCTGCGACTATATCTGAACATCTAATGCTCTAAGTATTTATGGTTAGTTCTATTCAAGATTGAAAGGGGAAAGTTAGGGACTTAATAATAGGAGGGAAGCAGGCCTTTGGCTTGAGAAAACACACACACACACACACACACACACACACACACACACACACACTCATCACTTTAAGAGCAGAAGAGGTGGCTTAAGAGTAGCAAATAGTAAACCTGCCCCAGTTAGTCCATCGTTAAGCATTTGTTAGACGGAAAGGTCAAGTCGACAAACAGCCCCCACTAAAGGCAGTCACAGCAGGCAGGATGTACCCACCATCATGATCAGTTTCTGCCCCTCCCAAGCTCAGATTTTTATAAAGCCGGAAGCCTGTGACCTACTGTGCCTCAGGGCTTTGAGGACCGCCTGTGGCCAGGAAGGAGTCTCCTCCTGCCCTAAGCTAATCATCAGAGGGCCTGAAGAGACAGCTGTGGGGCCTTTGCTCCCCGCTTGTGAGCGGGTAGCAAGGCACTGGGTCTAAGTTTAGAACTACACTCCAAACTTTGATCTTCCAGCCCTGCTTGGCTTTAGGCAAAACTGAAACTTGAGAGCTGTGACATGTTTTTTAAATCTTAATCCCCCTGGCAGTTTTAGAATAAGAACAGGAATTATTTTCAAATGAGAATCTTTGACTGCATCACACAGGCTTCCAAAATTAAGCAGAAACACATGGCGGATCTTATTATTAAATTTCCCTTGGAAAACAATGGTTTAGATTAGAGGGTGGGGGTAGTTTGATAAAACTTTGAAATACGAAGCCTAAAATTTAAAATAAAAGGAAGTGTGTGTGTGTGTGTGTGTGTGTGTGTGTGTGTGTGTCTGTGTGTGTGTAAGGAGCATTTCAGAGTTCTGCCCAGCACTACCATTATTAATCTGTTTCTGACAATGTTTAAATAATTGAATGCTCGAGGTTGCTTGAGGTCTGAAACATAAACGATTTTTTTTAAACCTGGGAATCAAGTACAAGTTTTTTTTCTGAAATCCAGACCACCTGATTAAAATATTTCCCCCCAAAGCACTTTTTTCTTTTTTTCAGAAAATAGAGGACACATAAGCTTTAACTCTGTCCTGACCTGCACCTGAGTCTATCCAGCTCCAGCGGGAAGCCCTTAGCAACGTGAACAGGTCGGCAGCCAGGGCCATTGGCATCTTTTCTCATCAAAATGAATCTGTCGGGCGGTTCTCCTCTCCTCCCAGAGCTGTCCCCGGAAAGGGATTTGAGCGAGAGAATGTTCCTGGAAAGGCTGGTGTTGCAGACCTCCCGGGCACTATTTAATTCTCTCTTCCCTTAAGGACTGAATCAATTACTACCTTCTTGATGAAGCCTTTCTGATCACCTCATTTACGTTTCCCCCACGTCCTCCTCAGCCCGTATCCCACGTATTGCTCACTTGAAACTTATTTCCTGCTGGCTATGGTTCGTGGTCTTAAGAGTGCATCTCTTCTCTTTTCAGCTACCGTTTGAGATCCTCAATGGCGAGAAGCAGCTCTTTTCCCTTTGCTTTCCAACCCCCATTGGGCCCGGGCGCAGGGCTCTGCACCAGTGGCTGGGTTACCAAGCGAGGGACAATGGCAGAGCTAAGTGATGCTTAGATGTTATCTTCTAGCATCACCCAGAGGAAGCCCTGGGGAATAAGCATAAAAAGGAAATGATGCACCCTGGTGGAGGTTGGACAGCCAGCTGGGCTCACGGGTGAGTGAGAAACACCACTCCAAGGACGCAACTTGATGCGGGAATGAAAGGAGCCAAGAGAGCTGTTGGTCCCACTGTGGCTCTGTAAATGCCTCATTTTCCCATCGTGGTAGACTCTCCTACTCCTGATTCACCTTACTGCCATGACCTGTTTTAAAGCTTCTCTGATTAAAGCTTCTCACGTCCGCCCAGGGTCCTGCGGGTTTTAATACTATCCGTTCCCCACACGTGCATGCCCGCCAGCCTCTCTTGCCATCTTCGAAGCGTTTCGCGGACAGTATTAATACCAGTTGTGGGAAAACAAGATCAGCACTCGCCAAACGTTGTTTGTGCCACTGAATTCCAGTTGGGAATCGCTGCCTTTTCGGTTTTAAGAAACTTCCCTTTGTCTTAGTAAGGCTCAAGTCACATTTGGGGTAGAGTTTTCACCACTCGGGCCACAGAGAAAGATCGCAGACACAAAGGAGAAAGCCGCTCAGGTGAGTCGGAAGAAAGAGGTGGTGCGGCCACTAAAGTCCTTAGGATTCATATTGTTGTCCTAAGCCAGACATCATCCTTGGTAGAGGGGGCGGGGCTTAGACGTTAGGATCCCAGCCTACTCTCTTCACCCACTTAATCTGATATTTATTTTTAGCAACACCCCAGAGGTTGAGGACCATAGTAACATTGATGGGAGCATCCCATTCAAGCTTGATCCTCACAACAAACAAACACAAACAAAAACGAATCAAACAACAAACAAACACAAAACATAACGACCCAAACCAACCAACCAACCAACAACAACAAAAAAACCTTTCTCCTGGCAATCTATCCCTCCTGTTCTGGGAACATCACAGGATAGATATTAACCCTCGCAGTTTGTTTTATAAAGTACAAATTTCATACAAATCAGCTGCACAGAGCTGCACCCACAGAAGGGACCTGCTTCTGCCTATGGAAACTATGTATGAGGGTGAAGAAAAGAGTTGGCTCATGCTTTGAATTCTCTAGAACAATATACAGATAAAGGTACCCTGGTTTTGTCTTCATGAGGCAGTGGGAGCTATTTACATGGCTCATGGTGGTTGGGTTGAGATGGACTGATGAGGCAGAATTCCCATGACAGAAGAATTGGGCAGACTCTAAACAGCTAGCAAGTAGCCTCCATAAATGGACAGGCATCTTTAGGAGAGTTCAAAGCCAGAGGGGTGAACCCAGGGAGCCACTGATGATGAGAGCTAAGCAGGCAAATCAAAATGACCCAGAGATGAAATGAATAGGACCAGGACACAGAATCCAGGGGATCTTTGCTTTCACTTTGAGTCTGAACATAAAGGCCCGTCTGTGTAGGATGGACCCCATAGGGGCTGTGTAAGAGACCCCAGATACTCTTATCGTGACTCTCACTATCTGATGTCTGCCTGTATGGCCTCAGGGCCTGTGACCCTACCCTCCAGAGGCTTCTACCCTCCTGAGCATTCCGAGAGACCATGGTAATTTTCTCAAATTCACGAGGCATCAGATTTATTTCTTGTTCTGGGTGTGAATCTCCTCATCCATCCCCCAAAGATGGAAGCTTCATCTTTGTGGTCCTACAGCATACCAAACAGCTGAAGTCACTCTTGTCAATCCCTTTATTGCCGGAGAGCAGCCCCTTAGCTGCGCTTTGGATACCCAGGGTTTAGCAAAGGCCTCATTGACTTCCATAGACTCCATAGGGTACCTCTACCACTGGCTTTTGCCTCTCCTTATTCTCACCCTGTCAGATCCGCAGACATGTCAATCTGTGTCTGCCCTCTAATCATCTGACTCCAGTTTTGTCCGAGTAAGGATGAGACATGAAGAGGAAACTCGGAGTGTTCCCAGGAGTTCCCACGCCTAGTATAGCCAAAGTTCACCAGAGCAACACCTTGCTCCAGCTGATCGGTTTATTAATACGTGAAATGACTTTAATGCGAACTTCAAGGGGGAACGTAAAAGGGCAGCAGCCTGAGGGAATGGCAGCAGTTCTACCCACTTTTCCTCCTTTGTTCATTTATTCAGCACCTAAAGCAGTATCTGGCATAGAACAAGCAATAAATGTTTGCAAGCGAATGACCAAATGAATGCAGGCTTTTGGAATGCCTCCTTCGAGCATGCGCAGTTCTTCAGGCTATACCTCAAATGTGACAGAAAATACGGACCGAGGATCCGGGAAACAAGCTCATGTTCCCTACATCCAGGTGTGATGATGATGCCATTGAGGGGTGGAGAGATGCCACAGGAATACATGGGAAAGGTTTGGTGAGGCGCCTCATTCTGGCAGCTCGGGAGAGATGTGGGGGCAAAGAGAGGTGCTATTCACAGACAAGGCACTGAATCGCGGGGCTGGGGTGCTCCATTCACCCCTTAAACTATCTCCCTGGGGTCAATGACTACGAATATCGCCAACTGACAACGCAAGTCTCCAGGAGTCTGGATTGAAACTGAGGCTGGGTTTCTTATACCCTGGGATAGTTCAAGTCCACTGCCCGCAGTTGACAGTAGTTAGCCCATAGGTAGACAAAACAATATGGAGGTAGCGTGGGCACAGAAGGAAGAAGAGGAATGGCAGAACGAAAGGAGGCAACAGCGGCCCAGATCTTCCGGGGTTCACAGTTTAAACACGGGGAGGACCAGGGAGACTGAAAGGGGGTAATAGCTCTTTCAGAGAATGCCGAACTGTCGGAGCACGGGCACAAGGTAGAGAAAAGCAGCCTTCTGAGCAGAAGCCGGACTTAGGCAGATTTCTCTCAAAATCCACTGCTTCCAAAACCATCTCAAGTGTCATCTAAGGTTCTTTACCCAAAGACTAAGGCTGAGTTTGGTGAGGATTTTATCAGGTAATGGGATAAATGTTCAGGCAACGTTCACGCAGTTCTAAGACTTTGCTTGCAACCTGGCTTTGAGCTAGAGGGAATTATGCTGTGGTATGTATTTGTGTTTGAAATCATGCCAGCACACATTCGATAGGCTGAGGTCTCTCATGCTTAGGGGTGGAAAAGGTTTCTATTCTTATGTA